ATAATTTTTTATCTTGTTGGTGCTAGCATGCCTCACTAGTATTTTTTTTTTTACACACACACATACATGAATCATTGATTTCTTTGGAGATCCCACTCCCCGCCGCCCACTATTTGGGATTGTTTATTTGGTTGTTTCCCTGTTGACCTTTCCTTTCTCAGCTGATTTTTGCTGCTGCCCTGCCTGCCTGTTGGACTCAAAGAATGGAAGAGTGGGTGAGGTCATCTGGTGGTAGGGGAGAGAAATCTCCCCATAGTCTTGTAGTCTTGATTGGGTGAGGGCTTTGAATGTATTTTATTTTTTGTCATAATTTGCTTCTTTCCTTCCTGACTTTTTTTGATAATTGTTATCTGGATAAATGGCTACATATTAATTCTGTTAAATGTATATATTTTGCTGGTTTTTAGGGGAATGGTTTTGTTTGCCTCCGGTGGGGGCTGGAGTAGGGGGGTGGACTCTGAGACTGTGCCGGTGTGCCACTGGGCTGAGTGGGTTGCTGTTGTTATTGGTGGTTGGGAACAGGTTGTGGCATTTTTCTCTTGTGGTTTTTGGTGTTTTGTTGGTTGTGGTTGGGTTGGTGAGTGATGTATCTGTACACAGGAGAGATAATGGCTGTCTGTCTCGCTGCTTCATTGCCTTTTAAAACAAATTGTGCAGCCCAAGCTCAGAGGGTCTCTTGGGCTGGGTGTGTGGCACTGAACTCACCGAGTTTTCTTTTTTCTCATATACTGTTGCCTGCTTTTAGCATAGATTGATTCTCTGTTGACTTGCCTTTGCTTTTTTTGAGTAGTTTTAAATGATTTTTAAAGGGCTTTTGGGTTGTCAGAAAACATGAATAGGGAGAGACAAGGCTTTTCCTTTTGTATAAAGTGAAAGGACCAGAATAAAAAAATGGAATAGACATCCCCCAAAAGGAAAGAATTATGAACATTTACATCAGGCTTATCCATATGATTCATGAAATGGGATCAAACAGCCACAGCCTTTTGCTTTTACATACTGGAGTGGTGGAGGGAGATATTTTGACGGTTTGTATTTTAATGCAAACTTGCCTAATGTGTACTTCGAATCAGTATGAGAAATGATTTGCACTTGTTACCCTCATATTTATAATTTCCAAAATTCTATGGTGCAGTTAATCAATCACAAAAAGTGCCTACAAAAATGCCTGTGCTAGGGAAGGTACAAATCTCTAGGGTTCACAAAACAACTATAGACAGACAGCAGATTTATAATAAACACACGGCCAAGTTTAAATTGAATGCACTGCCTTATACAACTCAACTATATAATATATGATCAACATGGAACAGCTTTGTTGATGCTGCCAGTGTAGTTTTATTGCAGGTGTCTAAATATTTGTCCTTGGGATCACTCTGTAAGAGGTAAAGCAGCATCACTGAATGGGACTTAAGAGCTTTTTAAAAAGTGGGTATAGAAGCAAGGCCCTGAGGAGTCATGAAGTGGCTGGGATCTTTCTCTGCATGCTGTGTAGCTGTGCCTAATTAATTATCTTAACTATAGTGATACATATTAACTTGGTTTGTTTCTGTACGTGAGAGAGACAGGTTCATTTATTAAAACAGGTTTTCTTGAATGAGAATAGTTGTTCATTATTGTGTTTGTTTCTGTGTTTTATAAAATGTTAATTGCACTACAGTGATGCCTCGCAAAATGAATGCCTCGCACAACGAAAAACTCACAAGACAAAAGTGTTTTGCGATGTTTTTGGTGACTCACAAGACAAATTTTTTCTATGGCCATGCTTCACAAAACGAATAGGAACACATTAATTAAATTTCAATGGATTCCTATGGGAAACTGCGCTTCACAAGACAAATTTTTCTGCAATACGAAACAACTTGTGGAATGAATTATTTTCGTCTTGCGAGGCATCACTGTATTTTAATATCCATGGCATGAGCTTAGGAAAAAGTGGTACATGGAAGTCTCTCAAATAACATGACACAACGAAACATACATAATCCTTCTTGTAGGATTGGACTGAGTTTTGTCTTTTGATTGTCATTCTTAAATTTATTTGAGCTGTGGTCCATTTGTATCCCAAATGTCCTGTTTTTCTTGGTGGTCCCTGAACAAAAAAGGAGTGTTTGGTGTAAGGAATTGGTTTTAACACTCTGATTGGGGATATTTGAGATAAAACCCATGCCAGAAACTCATTGGGGGTGCATCAACACTAGAGTTTTAGTGCTGCTTTCCTGAAATTTGCTAGAAATCGTGTTACAATAGGAGTCATGCACAAGGACCAATATTCTATTTGATGGGGTGTCAAGAGGCCTTTCACAGAGAAAAATGGATATGTGGCACATAAATGCCTGCGTAGTGGCCATTCCACATGTGATCATTGGTGCATGAAAGTGGCCATGGTACCTTATAAAAAGTTCCATTATCCAACAAAACTCAAAATCTTCTCACCTAAGAACTTTCTATCCTGCTTACTCACAACTGAGTTCCATTTAGCAAAAGTTATTTTCAATGTTAGCAGTTTCCCCTTCGTGATCCTGGCTAGCAGATTAGTGATCAATAATCTCTTATATGTCAATAATCTATTAGTAATTTGCCCCCTATCATTTTCTCTTGTAAATCAAAAAGAGAAAGTAGAAGCTATTCATTATTTTCCCCTGAAACCTCAATCAACAAGAAGATGTAAAACAGTTACAACCTGTCAACTGTAACATGTTGATTAAAGGCAGGGGCTGAGCGGAATTGCCTCAGATTGTTGCCACACAGGCAATTTGAATTGATTTCCAGTCAGATTTCTAAAAAAAGGTCACATGGTATTGACATGGTATTTAAACCGGAGGCCACATTCACATGCACTGAATGGAAATGGATTTATTTCTGGTGATTTAAACCGGCTTTGGTGTCTACAGTGCTGAAATTGATTAATTTCCTTTCTGTATTGATGAAGTTATGCAGCGGTCAACATTTTTTTTAATTTTTTTTTTAAATTTAAAGGGAAAAACAGTGGTTCCCCCGCTACCCAGTATTGACATAGACAAAACAGCAGCAGCCTTCACATCCACAAATCCCATTGAATTGAATCTATTTTAGAAGTGAGGTATTTTCAAAGCCCCTGTCAGCCAGTTGAAGAAACCTGCTTCGCAGCCTGATTTCACTTTTGTGTTGTCTGAACGATAAAAAAAAATCTAAATCTGTTAAAGTATACTTAAATGTGGTGCTTATTGCCAGTATGACTTCAGCCTCAGTGGCACTTTTCCATCTCCATTTGACAGCCTGGTGCAATGACTATGCTGTAAATCTGTTTTTAAAATGGCTAGAAGTTAGGTCTTTAAAATCACAGGTCGACCATGGGCAGCAATGATTTGCCTGTACCATCATCTTACATTTCTCTTTTTGAAGAAGAACAAAATAATATTTTTAAAAGAGGTGGGCTGGGGTGGAAGCAACAGGAGTGATGTTGATCTGCCCATTCTCTTGGGAGTCATAGTGTGGATATAATGCCCCTTATAGATTGCCCTGAGCAACTGAGTGGAAAGAAGAGACATCAACGTATGTATGAGAGGAAAGAGAGAGAGAGAGAGAGAGAGAGAGAGAGAGAGAGATGAACAATAATGTGAAAGGCCCTCTTTTAACGTAACTTCACATATCACCTTTCCATTGATCTTTGAATTTACCTAAATTGGCTTAATTAAAAAAAATCAGGGGCAACCCAGCCAGGGCTTCCCCTTAGCGACTGTCTGTCTGAGAGAGGTTTCTAAATGGCTTGTTGTGCCTGTTTGCCTTGAATCTGTTTTTTGGTGTTGATTTTTTTTTTGCCCTTTTAGCATGATGTTTGATCGATTCTTTTTAAATATTTGTATACTTACTGTTTTTAGCTTTTAAATGTTGTCTCTTATGGGTGTGAAACGCCTTGGATCCTTTTTAAGGAGAAAGGTAGGGTAAAAAATATTTTAAATACAATAAACCTCTCCTGCTGTCTGAGGCCTGAAGAGAAATGCTCGTTCCCATTGCGTTCCCACTGCCCCTCCCAGTCGCTGGTTTGGAGGGCTGCGTAGGCAGAGCCGTATCAGCTGGCAAAACCCACCTCCCTCCTAAAGACTCTGGCTGCTTCTCAACCAACTAGCTGTGGCTGTAGCCACTGTGGGTGGACCATCCCGGAAAAGTGGCCTGTGCTCCCACGGCAGGGCCAGCTCAGAGAAACAGCTCCCCCATTCGTGGGTCAGAGAGAACCATTGCCTCTCAGAAAACACATGCAGTCCAAATGCCTCCCCTGATCCTTTGAGGAAAACACACTCCAAATGCAAACGACCATATGCTTCTGGTCATCTGGGTCTGTAAATTTGTGAGCGGTTCCTGCCTTCCGCCTTCTATGGTTTGTTCCTTGCAGACTGTCGCATTTCGTTGCCTTACCGCCACCGAGAGACTTGAAAGGCTTCCAAATTCCAACCCAGCTGGCTTTTATGGCCTCAAGCCAGGGAAGCAATCTCTGCACATGGAAGAAAAACATGCACGGAAACCTGGCGTTCTTTAAAAAGTCTACGGAAGCCGAAGCCGTTGAAGAGGCGAGCTGCTTTTCAGCTTAACATTTCAGAATACATTGTCCCTTCAGTATGTGGCAGAAACCGCAAAAACATGCACGGAAACCTGGCGTTCTTTAAAAAGTCTACGGAAGCCGAAGCCGTTGAAGAGGCGAGCTGCTTTTCAGCTGAACATTTCAGAATACATTGTCCCTTCACTATGTGGCTTTCCCTATTTGCTGGTCTTGTTGGGTTGGAGGACCCTGGTGATTCTCAAACAGGGATAAGAACTATAGAAGATGGTAGATTGGGATCTTTTTTCCCCACCCTCAAAGTTTGATTTTAAAAAAAATGTCTTCACAATATATGCGATTATTAAAACATTAGGAGTTCTGGATTTTTGTTTGTTTGTTTGGTGTGTGTGTCTTTTTGAAATTTCCTCAAGAGAGGGGAAATGCTGGCGTTTTATATTCTAACATTTCAAATGTTCAATTCCAGGATTGTAAATGGAAAATGTATATGGAGATGGATGGGGATGAGATTGCAATAACTTACATAAAAGATGTGACATTCAACACTAACCTGCCTGATGCAGAGATTTTCAAGATGACAAAGGTGAGATTTGGTTTATGGGCTTGATGTTCTCATGATTTCTTAGATCTAAAACGAATGTATTAAAATACCCCAGCAGCAGACGTTTGTGCCTTCAGGCAGCTTTTAAGCCGCACCCTTGCACATTTTTATCATAATAGTTTTTTGGGGGGGTTCTTCCCCTTTCAATCATGCTAATAATAAAGTGATGGCAAGACTTAGATACTGCAATTAAAGTGTACGATTTCTTGGTTCTCTAACAAAGTCAACGGTATATCCATCAGTGAACAGACTAGTTCAAAATGATCTGAGCGCTCATCCTTTGAGTGCACAAAAATAGTGACCTTTGACAGCAATTTCAAATGGAGGTAACAAAATAGACATTTAGTGGAAAGGAGTCATGAACCAGACCCTTAATTGCCATGCTGTCTGAGATCTGCCCAGTTTCCATTTTATTTTAAGTCCTGAATTGAGTTCTAGAAACTCAGCCCCCTGGCAAAGCATCTACACTGCTCTTGCATTACGAGCTATAAAAGAAACCGCAACTGAGCTTGCTCACTACTGGGCGATATCATACCCTGTCTTTCAGCTCATCCACCATGTTATTTATTCGATTTTTATCCTACCTTTCTCCCAAAATGGGAACTCAAGATGGCTTGTGGGAAAAGTACAGATAGGAAAACACAGAAAAAAGGTAAAATATTAGCCAGAATGCTCTTGGTGAGTCACACTTGCAGCAGGAAAACTGTACAATTATGGCAAATCGACACTTACTAATGGGATGTAGGTTGTGTTTAAAATCATAAGATTACAACTACAATTTCAGGTTGTGTCCTCACACACAGTCATCTTCATTCTATAGACTTATAAGATGCAGCTAATAGGCTGGGTTGGTTAAAGGCAGACATCCAAAAATGCCCATTACATTAAAAACAACAACAAATGGTGTCCTAAAGGGACATTAATTCTTGCCTTAGCTACTCCTTTTTGTTCCTGGGTGGATGCACTGTGGCCATTGATACCAGTGATAAAATTCTGCTTTTCCCTTCTGTTTTCTATTAGCAGATCTCTAGTCAGGTCCGTGGACTGTCTGTCTAGCCCCTTCCTGTGTTTTTCAGTCACCCACCCTAGTCCAGAACACTATCAACCCTTTTTCTCTGGTGTGTTAAATCACTGGCCTTGCCTCTTGCCCTTGTGAACAATTATGACTGTTTTACATCACCAGGAGAGTAACAACTTTTTTCTTCTACGGCAACAGCTACATATGCAAGGGTAAAACCCAGGAGGTTCCTCAGTATATTATTTATGAATTAAATTTATATCCAGCCTTTCGACTAAAAATTGTGCTCAAGGCAGCTAACAGTTAAACCCAGATAAAATAAATTTACAATTAAAACATTAAAAATAATTAACTAACATGGCCACAGGAAAGAAACAGATGCACTCATTGGATTAAAACACGTCAGCTGCAGAAACCAGACTTGGTTAAAATCTCTTTTGTCTTCCAAAGCAAGGCAAACACTTTGCTGCTTTTATGCCACCCCGTTGTGCTTAACGCTTTCTCTAGGTGGTTGACAATTTAATGATGCAGGCTACACATTGCCCCCGCCCTGTGAACTGGGTACTCAGTTTACCGCCGTCAGAAGGATGGAAGGCTGAGTCAACCTTGAGTCAGCTACCTGAGCGAAGGATCAAACTCAGGTTGTTAACAGAGTCTTCACTGCAGTACTGCAGTTTTTAACCACTGGTTGAATAGCTCAGTGACGGTGCAACTGCACAGTGGAGAGAGAGAGAGAGAGAGAAAAGAATGGATCCACTGCAAAGTTGCACCCAAGAAAACTTGTTTCCCCAGGTTAATTCACTTCAGCTGACCACACAGAAGTCAGCAGAGAAAGGGGAGAAAATCAGTCTTCTTTGCAGCTTATTAACTGTTTGAATCCTTTCTACACATGGTGCCTGGGTCTGCTTGTTTCCCTCTTCTCTTGCCAAGGACTGCTGTCCCAGCGCTAGGCCAGTTAGGTGACCAAAGGGGACAGAGTGAAGAATGGGCAGGGGGACAGGAAAAACAACACTTCAGACCTATTTCCAAGTTCTTAAGATATATCTGCTCTGCTCTGGCGGTCAAGATTTGCAGGAGGCAAATAGAGAATAGCTGCCTTAAAACCTCCCCCCACCCGCCGCCTTTGGTCACTCAGTAACCCACTGCAAGATTAGCAACTCCTAAAAGAAAAAAAGGAGAATAAAGAAATAGAATGGGAAGGGAAAATGAAAGCAGGTCCAGGCACAGGTGTGGGGCAGAGAGCAATGAAACGAGAGAGAGAGCAGCTAATTTCCTCACTCCCCTGCCTCTCTCACGGCTGCTGGAGCTAGCTGCCTGAACTGATGCAAAGGCATTGGATTCCAGAAAAAGTAGTAGGCCCAGTGGTGGAGGGGGGAAAAAACTAGGGATGAGGGTGGGGGTGATTCTGGGCTACATATCATGTAGTCAGTGGAATCATGACTTAATCCTCTTAAAAATCCCGCTGCAACTGCTTTACTCTCAGGCAGCACTTAGCAACTTCCTGTCTGCGCAGGAATCCAGGGTGGAGCTGGGCCTAATGCTATGCTCCAAGCCTTCCTAACAAGGCCTTTTCTACAGGTGAGCCACGCTTAGGTGTCGGTAGGTGTGGGTCTGTCAGGTGGAATTCCCAGAATGTGCCTGTCACAGACTACTATGGGTTTACTGAAGGAAGGGATAGGATCCTGTCTTAAGCAGACTGAAATAAGGCCACGTATTAATGTTAAAATACCAAGGCTTTACTCATTCCCTGCAACATACATGGGGTATGAGGGAAGTCACGGGTAGCCTTGTGCAGAGGAGTAACATTTAACACAATTTCTGTTCCAATGCATGGGGTTTTTCAAGGCAGGACATGAAGACAATCCAGATGTCCAGGATATATCACTCTATAGCAGTGATGGCAAACCTTTTTGAGCCTAAGTGCCCAAACTGGGGGGGAAAAGAGAAAAAACGACCAACAGGCGGCAGGCGGTGGCGGAAATGTTCACACAAGGGGGAATCCCGGGCACGGAGGTGCCTCCAGACCCCACTTCAGATCTGCCTCCAGTTGTACCCAACCCTGCCACTGCCTATGCCTATAGCTCAGCCATCCTGCTGCTGCCAGCACCAGCTGCTCTGGATCCTGGCCCACCGCCTGTCGGGGCACTAGCACCGCGGCTGCATCCATCTCTTCAGATTTGGCTGCCGGGGGTAACGATCTAGCAACCTATGGCTCACATGTCCACAGAGAGGGCTCTGCGTGCCAGCTGTGGCATGCGTGCCATTGCTGCTCCATAGTGTGAGCAAGAGAACCATTAAATACAGACACTCTGGCTTAACACATTTTTAAGTGTTATTAATATTTGGAGGATGAGGAAAGAGTAGTAGGACTATAAAATTCAGAGTCAAAAATTATCTTCAAATGGGATCCTATGTTCACATGTTAAGTGGAAGGTCTGTGTGTTCTTTTTCAAGAACACAGGGTGAAAATGTACGTGTGATTTATACAATAGACCAAAAAGAAGTAAACAATCACAAGGAAAACAAAATAATTGGTTTGTGAAACATTTTGTTTCTTTTCTGCAGCCACCATTTGTGATGGAGAAATGGACAGTGGGAATAGAAAATGACCAAATTGTGGAATGTATAATTACTTATGAGGTAAGCATTTGGGATGTCCATGGCAAAAATGTCCGTGTCTGTTTTACTTTGGGTTCCTTTGGCGGGTTTCTTTTTCATTTTTGTGTTTTTCATTTGCCTATTCTTTTTGTTAAGAAGAATATGGAAAGTGACTTGGGGGTCCTTTTGTTCCAGGTTTCCCTTTTATGCTTCTTAGTACTCCAAAAGCCCTAAAGAACACTTTAAGGCCCCTCAAATCTACTCCTAAAAAGCAGAGGCAAGGCAACAGAGTACCAAGCTACTTCAAAAGCAGGTAACCTGAGAAGAAAAATAATCTTCAAACCCACTAAACCCACCAATAGAATAAATTAATACAAAGTAAATTAATGAAAGAAGACTTTTTAAGAAGCAGTCAAACAGAGAAAGCACCCTCACAAGCAAAAAATGGCCAAAGTTTAAAGACACACACAGTCCCTTCTCCCCTAACCAAGAACAGTAAGTAAAGCCAATGAAGCAAATAAGGAAAGAAAACAAAATTTCAGAAATAAACAGACCCCCACCAACAAATCCTCTCTGAGGTCCAGGCTCTTCTATGGATTTGACATTCTTCTTTCCCCCAGATGTTCTGACTAGCTGCTGGCAGCCCTCATTGGTCATACAGCCATCTCTGCAATATCCCTAGTGATGTGACTGGATAAAAAACAACAACATTACGAGGGTTTTGACTTACAAAGGTGAAAGAATGCTTGAAGTGCAAAAGAAAGCTTTGAAAAATGTTTACATGAAATAGAGAGACCCAGAAGAACAGAAAATTCCCATGTTTTCCTGGTTCATTAATACAAATATTTGTGTTTAGGGGCTCTCTTTCAGGAATGAACAAAAGAACACGAAGGCAGAAAAATAGCTTCTTTTGCATTTTATAAACTCTTGTTAAGACAGGAAAGTCTCATCCCGAGTACGCATTCATGGGAAAAACAACAACAATCCACCTGTTTCATCAGTATGGCTTCACAATGAGGAGCTGGCATTCTTTAACTTAGTTAGCCACTGTAGTGAAACCGCATGTTGTAATTAATTTTCAGCTGCTGACTTCTCATACAAATCTTAATGTTATCTTTAGGAACCATGCCCAGATTCTTAGCTGGGATTCCTTGCTTCTTCAAAAGTTTGTTTTAAGTAACTTTTTTTTTCTTTGTGAAACGGTCAGTGCAGGTGGTGTTTTGTTGAAAAGACCACCTTTCTTACCTTTTTGACAAAATGCTAATTAGCAGAGCAGAGGAGCAACAGGAGAAGAGAAAAGGTGGGAAAGAAAACATAAAATAAAATCTAGAAGCAATTTAGCTGTGGATAATAGGATGGAAATTAGCCTTTGTATGAGTAGGGTTTTTTTGGATACTTACAAAAAAGTGTTTCATAAAGACCAATGGGATATTTCACACTGAGGCTAATAATTGAAATTTCAGTTCTGTCCTGTGGCATGGATTCAAACAGAGAGAGAGAGAGCGATAGGAAAATTCTGGACCGTGTTTGCCTCAGAAGTGAAGAACAGTAGCTTTCTGTTAACAGGAAGAATAACCCTAGGTTCCTTTCAGACGGTAACTCCTCACAGGAATCAGAGCCTGACAGCAGGATTAAAGAGCTAGCAACTGTAGGCAAGCTACCACAAGGAACCCCAGCAACAATATCTCCTTAGTCGCTACCTCCTCTAGCAGAAAAGACTATTTACGTGAAGCACCACATGATCTCATAATTACTAATTGATTCTGTTAAAAGCCAGCCATTAAAATATTGCCATTCAGTAGGCTATCTGCAGGGGTGGGGTGGGGTAAAGAGGAGAGCAAGTGTAATTTACCATTGGATTTATAGCACAACTCGAAAAATCTTTAGGAATCAGGCAGAAAGGTGACAGCAAACAAACCCAGCAGGTGATGGTATCCCTTACCCATATCATTTTCACAATTGTACGCTCAGGGTCTGGGCAAACATCCTCTGGTTGTTGTGGAGTGTTCATTTTTCCCCTTTGAGATGATAGCTGGTTTGTGTTACTTGAACAGAATGATGTCCGAACGCCAAAATTCACCAAACATATCCAGCCGGTGCAGTGGAGTGAAGTGAAGTGTCAGGATGAGGTGAAGTCGATACAGCTTAAAATACAAACACCACTTGCAAACTCAGAAGGCATCCCTCGGAGCAGATCCAATTCTAGTAAGTCGAAGGTGCAAAGTTTTGGAAAAGGACAATTTTTGGAAAATTGTAGCCACAATCATAATCATAATAGAGACAGAAAATTTACAAACTCCCGTAGTCTCATTCCATTGATTCAACAAAGGGTGAAACCGTCTCTTATATTCACACATTATCTTTTCATAGCCCTTAAATCCTGGAGAACAGGTATAGCCTGCCTTTTGCAATAAGCAACGTATCTGAGGCATCTTAAGAATCTACTGATTTAACGGACACTTTGCAAAACCACAGTGCTCTAAATTAAGAGTGTGTGATTTAAGTGTGTATTTTCAATTTGCAGTTGTAGATTCTAATTGGCATATAAGACTGGCCTTGTTAAAAGACATGGATGAACACAGGTATTGTAGCTGCTGGTAAATGTAGAATAGCACTAATGGCGTCTTTGAACAATAACGTTCCGATCTTAGAATGTCAAACTTAAGCCTCTGCATAAAAAGCGAAGAGAAAGTTCTAGAGATGTGGTTCCCAACCTTGGGCAACCCAGATATTCTTGGCCTACAGCTCCCATAAATCCTGGCCGGCAGAGCTAGCATCAAAAGCTTCTGGGAGTTTTAGTTGAAGAACATCTGGGGATGCAACGGTGGTAACCACTGCTCCAGTGTGATTTCAGACGGACCTTTGTGTTTCTCAAAAGGTGTTGTCTTCTTGAGAGGGAAAGGGTTAAAACAAAGACTGCTGCCGCCGCCGCCGCCCAAACAAATGGGTAGTCCCAGCAGGAACTGTATTTGAGGAGAACTTTTGAAGGTCATTTGGCTTGGGCAACTCTTGAGATCTGCAGTCCAAACAAAGCACTTTGTCCAAGTTCTGATTATGCCACTAGTAGCCTTCATTTCTGGTGCTTTCTGGGAAGGGCAGCCATTTGCTGGAATTCAAAACTGCTACTGCTCTCTCTTTTGTTTCAGGTATCGACTGCCAATGGATGAAGGCGCTAAAAATGCGCCACGTGTCCAGTAGCCCTTCGCTTCAACATTCCCGTCCCCACAGCCCCAACAGCTTGACGCAGTACTTACCTTATCTTCAGGACCAAGGCAGCTATGCAGCTGCTGTAAGACGGACCCATGTTCCTGTAAGCTATCACATCACCTCTCTAAATCAGTCAAGAAACTCATCTCCGACACCATATTTATCATCTTTACATCTGAACTCAAAGGGAAGCAGCACCTCCAGTGCGGCTTCTGACAGCCCCTCAGAAGGAGCACGACCCAAGATGAAAAGCAGGAGCCACTACCATCAGAGCGTCTCTCCCAATGTGTCTGTGCCTGGGCGGCGCCTTCCGAGGGGCTCCGTGGGCGCTCAGGCACCAGTGAGGAACAATGAGAAATTTCACAGGACTCCACAGGCCAGTCACAATCAACATTTGCCACGGTCACGTGACCGGAAGCATCCGCATTCCTCTCAGCAACCGAAGGAAATTCCAGGAATGCCCTTGAATACAGAAAATGACCCCGAAAGAGAGGGAGAGGAAAGCAAAGTCAACGAAGGTGGATGGGTAAAAGTCAACCATTCAAAGAAATCTCAGCGACATGGGGTTGGCAAACAAAGTAAGGAGAAGCCAAAGGGAACTGGAACGCACCTGAGAAGACCCCATTGATGCTTTTTTTAAAAAAAGAGGTTTTATTTTATTGTTGAACAGCACGTTTAGTTTCTAGGAAGAAAGCAAGATGACAATTTTATTTTTGTGTGCTTAAGTTAATTGACACGGAATGTAATGGGAATCTTCCTGAATGAGCTTTATATGATGAAGATACTACCTCTTATGGAGATCATAACCACAAGTCCAACATTGGTTTGGGTGCGTGGGTCTGTCATTGCAACCTGAGTATCTAGTGAGTAAGTTATTCACTAGAAAGACAGACAGACATTCTTGTTTTATTCTAGATTCAAAATACTACAGGTTCTTTCCTCCTTTGGCCTTGTTCTATTTAAGTGCCTTAATAATTCCACAGCCACTTAATTGGGACTAGACTTAATATGTTTACATGCTGACTTGTCTACAACAGGCAACTGTCGTCCACTTTTAACCTGCATCTTGTGTCTGAAAAAGATGATCGGAAATGCTGTGAAAATCTTCTGTTCCAAGCAAGGAAGGTCAGATCCAGTGGTCCAAGCACCAACTGTCTGCCCCATCATTGACTGTGAACTTCTGCATCAACCCCCCATTCCAAAAAAGGGGGGAGAGAGAGAAGAAGGAAAAAGAAAGAAAAATAAAAAGTCTAATTAAGAATTGGCAAAACAACCTGTTCCAGGTACAGAGGAGGTGTATGGGGGTGGCATAGTGGGATGGGGTTGAGTGCAAAACTGCTGCTCCTGAAAGCTTTCAGGAAAAGCAAATGCACTTTGTAAGCCTTTGTGGGAGGGAAGGGCTGCGGGAAGGGGGTCGCAAAGGATCCCTAGGAGCCACACAGGGTCTGTGGTCCACACTTTGCCCGCCTCTGATTTAAAGGTACAGCCCCATGTGTTTCTAGTAGAGTCACTCTTATGATCACAGAAAAGTGTGGCACACTTCTACAAAGACAGTTAAGAGTCAGAAAAACAGACTCCAGGGTGGGGTTTTTTTGTACGAATATCATATAGCAGATACTATTTTATTCATTGTATTAATTGCACTTAGTGTGTTCTTTGTATTTAGATAATAAAAAATAAACTATTAATACTTTTTTGTGTACATTGCAATTCTTATGAAATGTTTTTTCCACTGGAATTTGCCATCCCTAAGACAGTAAATCTAAAAACTGCTGCTCCTGAAAGCTTTCAGGAAAAGCAAATGCACTTTGTAAGCCTTTGGGGGAGGGAAGGGCTGCTGGAAGGGGGTCGTAAAGGATCCCTAGGAGCCACACAGGGTCTGTGGTCCACACTTTGCCCGCCTCTGATTTAAAGGTACAGCCCCATGTGTTTCTAGTAGAGTCACTCTTATGATCACAGAAAAGTGTGGCACACTTCTACAAAGACAGTTAAGAATCAGAAAAACAGACTCCAGGGTGGTTTATTTTTTTGTACGAATATCATATAGCAGATACTATTTTATTCATTGTATTAATTGCACTTAAACAGTGTGTTCTTTGTATTTAGATAATAAAAAATAAACTATTAATACTTTTTTGTGTACATTGCAACTCTTATGAAATGGTTTTTCCACTGGAATTTGCCATTCCTAATACAGTAAATCTAAGCATATTTACCAAAACTTAAGTTCCACTGCACTACATTTGTTGATACAATTTGATAATTCGTAAAGGATCCCTAGGAGCCACACAGGGTCTGTGGTCCACACTTTGCCCGCCTCTGATTTAAAGGTACAGCCCCATGTGTTTCTAGTAGAGTCACTCTTATGATCACAGAAAAGTGTGGCACACTTCTACAAAGACAGTTAAGAGTCAGAAAAACAGACTCCAGGGTGGGGTTTTTTTGTACGAATATCATATAGCAGATACTATTTTATTCATTGTATTAATTGCACTTAGTGTGTTCTTTGTATTTAGATAATAAAAAATAAACTATTAATACTTTTTTGTGTACATTGCAATTCTTATGAAATGTTTTTTCCACTGGAATTTGCCATCCCTAAGACAGTAAATCTAAGCATATTTACCAAAATGTAAGTTCCACTGCACTACATTTGTTAATACAATTCGTTAATACAAGAAATATGCAGGACAAGAAATATGCAGGACCTTTCAATTAATTAATTAATTAATTTAAGTCAATGTCTAGCAAAAAAACCTGTCATGCGGGGTAACTGTCTAGTGAGGCACCACTGTACTTGGACAAGAAATATGCAGGACCTTTAAATTAATTAATTAATTAATTAGGTCAGTCACTTGTAATGATTACCTGTGTTTAATCCACATTCCTGAAAATCAAGCATGTGCAAAATCTCACTACTCCTTTTGCCACTTATGAAAACGAAAGGGGAAAAACTGCTTTTCGGGAAATATGTAGGAACAATTAACTTATATTGCAAATCACGTTGAGAAGGTGTCAGAAAAGTATGAAGTCAGCATCTTGTGGGATTTCCGGATCCAAACTAACAGATACCTTGAACATAAGACACTGATAGAGATGGGGATGATTTAAAAAGTGAATCACCAAGTTTGTTTAAAATCGCTAATTTGTTTATTCATATTTGTACAAATCAATGCCCCCCAATGAGTACGAATCAATGAATTTTTAGTGATTTTTGATTTGTCAGTTCATTTGGCTATAAAATGCCCCCCAGGGACCTAGAGGCAATGAATTGCAGGGAAGTTTCCTCTGACTCTACAATCCTTCCTAGTTTGGTGAGAACTGGGTTTCAGATATCCGAGTTATATACCCACAAAGAGGAACCCCCAGGAAAGTTCCTTCAAGGCACCTAGTGACACCAAAATCACAGAGAAGCTTCTACTGACTCTCATCTACAATCTCTCCAAGTTTGGTGAAGCTTGGGTTTCCCCAAGCCAGCTGCTAAAGAACACTGCCTGGGAGACCCACTTTGTGGGTATATAACATGGACATCCAAAACCCAATCTTCACCAAATTTGGAGTGATTGTAGAAGAAAGTCAGAGCAAGCTTTTCTGTGATTTTGGTGTCTGGGTGCCTGGGGGAACTTTCCTGGGGAGCCTCTTTGTGGGTGTATAACTTGGACATCCAATACCCCAACTTCACCAAAGTTGCAGCACTCATAAAGGAGAGTCAGGGGAAGCTTCCTTGCTAATGTGGTGTCTCTAGGTGCTTTGGAGACCATTTTATAGGGTTTTAAAGTCAACAGTGAATTGACAAATCGATTCATTGATTTCTCAGAAAAAATGCATAAATTTGTGGTTCAAAATGAATCACACCTTTTCTGATTTATGCCCATCTCTACACACCAGACATAGTAGTAATAAAATGAAGAAATGTCTGGATCATTGACATTGCAATTCCAGGGGATGCCAGAGTTGAAAATGAAGTATTGGAAAAACTAACAACATCTCGCTTGTGGACAAAACACACTTCAGTGGACCCCCATACTCACGAGGGCTTTGGGAACAACATCAAGAAATCTCACCCAGTATTATATGTAGTTGCAGATCTCAGAAATAACACCATCGGAGCTACAAAAATAAAAATTAAAAAGTTGCAATATTAGGAACCCTGCATATACTGCACCAATATTTAATAGATATTTAAGTTTTTAGTTAAAACATGTATTTGTTATATAATAACAGCCAATATTCTTCTAATTTTGATTGACTGTGCATGGTATTTTCAAATAATAAGAGAATTACTTTGCTAGAAGGGACCATATAAGTCCAGTCCCTCTTGAGAAGGCACAGTGAGGAATCAAATTCCCAACATCTAGCACCATCACCATGGCCAGACAACTAAGCACCTAGCTAATCTTCCTGCCCTACCCAGGGTGGCTACTCAGGTCATGGTGAGCCATTCCTATTGTACCCAGGATGGTTCAAAAGCATTGTCCAGAACCAAAAAGAAAGACTGGCTTTATCCTCCTGTATTTTTGAACTATGATTAGCCATAAAAAACTGGGTTCAAAATGTAGAAACGTATGGTATGTTTGCCACTGCAGTATTGAGACTCTGGTGGCATGGTTTCTTTGAGAGAGAAAAAGATCTTATTTGTATCAGCGCTTCTCTGCATGTTCATTAACCGGTTCCTTTTTTGTCCGTTTGAGTCAAACAGGCAATTTTGCAGCCCCCTGTATCATGTCCAACTCCACTGGACCTTTCACAATAGACTGGACCCTTTTCTCCAGTGAGAGATGCCTTTGGTGGAGGAGTCATACAAACCATTCCATCTTCACCTTGCAACAGAACTCACAGCATCGCATTTTCCCTCCAAATAACATTGTACCCATTTGGAGAATGAAACCAGCATTTCTTCTCAGTTGTGGACATTGTTTTTGAAGTGACTGGGATGCAATAAAACTGCTCACCATAAACACAATAGCTGCCTTAGATGGGGGTGAAAGGAGCTCTGACCGCAGACTATATGTACAGTGGAGGGAAAAAAAGTTGGATATTGGAGTAGAATCACAAATAATGGTGTATAAAATTTTAGTCATTCTTAGATGAAGCCAATGCCCTGAATCTTTTCCAGCCTGGATTTAAGCTATCTCATGGCGCAGAGATGGAACTGGTTGTCCTGCATGATGACCTTTGAGGGAGGCTGATAGGGGCAAAGTGTTTCTACTGATCTTCCTTGATCTGGGAGAGGTCATCTGGAGATGGAGAGGATAAAATAGCATGGAAGTGAAAACTATCAACCTCCTTTCTTTTGCCAAGGCATTTTAAATAAGATATGCGAAGGAGATGCTTAGTGGTTGGGCTAGTCCTGCTGCCACAGTCTTAACTGTACAAAATTTCCGTTCCTTCTGCTCTTCACTCTAACGTCTTCCTCAAAGGCTACTAAGGATAGAAGGCACTCCCTTGATTTCAGTGTCTTGTGGATGACCAACAAACAGTGAAATACGTCAGATATTATTTGTGGATCTCACATTTCTATTTCAGGTTTAAATTAGAATGGATGTGTGCATATTTTCTAGCAGTCTTAATTGGCAAACATACATGTACTTGGGCCATGTTCTGCTGCTTTTTCTCAGGAACCGAAATACGAAGA